AAGTACTAAAGAGTTGTCAAATATAACTGAAAACTCTAATTTTTCTTTTGTGACATCTACGCCAACTGATTATGCCCCAGAAAAACCTGTGCATTATATAGCACTGCTATGATCCATCTTAAAGTCAAATGTATTTGAACAAATGTCACCCTCCTCCCATAACCCTTGAAATTCAACCTTCCTCCCTCTGGATCTGGATGTTAAGTGGGGATCTGGTGGAGAAAGAGCCAAGTCCAGGCTATTCTTAATATAGAAACTTTTTCATAAGTTTGCATAGTGGCCAGACTGTGTCTTTGGACTCCCTATAAACAATACTCAGGTCATTGGAGCAATTAAGAATGAACACACCATTCAAAGGAAACTTCAGAGGGTTGTAGCCCATGTTCATAGATTACCATAGGCCTACACAAGTTGGCAAGCAAGGTCTGGGCTTTATCAGAAATAGCCTTTGGGGATGAAGAGAAAGGCAAATATTTTCCAAAGCCATTTAGGTTGCCCACATAGACCACACATGACTTTCTACTTTTCCCTGACAGTAGAGTATAGATGTAGCCTTAACCCCATGACCTTCTTTCTCTTATCTTTAATTTCAACTCTCTTCCTTTTGCCAATATTCAGCTTATGTCCATTGACCAATTTCTCCAGGCAAGAAATCAATGAAGAAAAAAGGAAGGAAGATTGAGGTACTTAAGTGCTTTCCCTCTACTTCCCTTTTACATCTCTCCTTTCTCAACGGTGCCACCTCCAATAGTCAAGTTGTATATTCTTCATAATAAGCTTTATCTTGATTTAATTTTTCATCTATACAATGAAGGTAGTGATGGCACCTGACATATGTGGTTATTTTGAGGATTTCATAAGATAATTAATATAAAATACTTAGAATATTGCCATGAACAGTGACAACTCATTAATCATAGCTATAATGAATATTAGAAGTATTAATATCATTCAGTTATCATTTCACATTTATTTTGTCTTAATAAGGATAGGCTATCTTTAGAATTCTTACAGATATGAAGAAATGCAAAGGTAAGAAATCATTAATCAGCCTTGTGGCTGTGTTAAAGAAAATCTCACAAGCAGCCCAAATTTCACTCCTTATTTATATGCAGTAGTCAAGTTGGGAATTCTGTATTAGATGCATCACTGGAAACCTGAAGTAGTGTGATATCCTTGCCTTATTATTCATGTGGGCAGAGCTCTTTAACACATTTTCTCAGAATAGCAAAAGCATCATTTTCTTTTTCTTATCTCTTCCTGTTTCTCTCTCATGTATACTTATCCTCAATAACTGAAATTATTTTGCTCTTCTCAGCACAGACTTAGAACACACAGACCTAGCTCTGAATGTCACAGGCTCAAGATGGAGGCAATCAAGCTCTTTTTTTTTTAAAGAGTATTGGGACCTGGGATAGATTGCAAAGGGATGGAACTTGGCTAGATTGAAGCTTTGTATCACATGGACTGTTTAATGATTTATATAGCTTCTTCCGGCAGCTAAAAGAGCTGCGAACTTTGCCCAGGAAAATGACAATGACAATGGAAAAGATAACTACTGAATTTTATAGCGTTCTTAAATGGCTGCTATAAACTAAAAACTTCAGCATTGATTTTGGTTTAATCTCTTTGGAAAATGTATTTTTTATCCAGCTAAGGACAATAGGCAAGTAGTTATATGCATCTCAAGAATTTTTCTGAGTATAATATCAGCATAAGATAATTACTGACATTAATATCATAAAAACATATTGTACTGTCAAAGCCATCTCTTTTATAATTACTTTACTAATGACTTGAAATAACAATTGATATATTTTTAATCAACTTATTTGCTTATATAGTAATACAGGATTTAAATGATAAGCAGTTGAGCTATAGAATAAATTAGATTATGGAAGGACTGAGTTATTCTTAAGTATAGTGGTCACAATTTGAAGACATTTTATTCAGTCCAATCAGTTGGCACTTCTTACTTAGCATATGTGAAGGTACCAAAAATGTAGGTAGGTATCCATTGTTTTGTTTTGTTTTGTTTTTAGCTGACTTTTCCCTCTTTGTAATTAAGTTTTTTGGTTTTTTTTGTCTTAAGTCTAACAAAATTTACTTAAAGTAATTTCACAATTTCAGATAGCAATATAAAAACAAACTTTGGCACTGCATTGAACTTTAAATTCCTTCTTTAAAGTAATATCTATTTAGTAAAATCTGCTCTATTTTATTTTTTATAGCTATATTCACAAGTTCTGATTTTATCAAGTATGCATACTCTCAATATAGGATATAAAAATGTAAACATTAAGAACACTTCTTCATTAGTGTTCCCTTTCAACCAGTTTTGATCTAAAATGTAAATTCATACTTCTAGTCAAGATTGTGTAGTAGGTAGATGTCGTGCTCGCCTCCTCTCAAGACCACATCGAAATTACAACTAAACTACAGAACAATAATCATTGGGAGTCACTTGAGGTTTGGCTGAACAGAAATACTACAACTGGGGACACAGAGAAGAGGCCACCTTGACTGGTAGGAGGGGTGGAGAGCAAAATGGGCTTGTCCCATAACCATATGTAGCAGTTGAGAATCAGGAGGGATATCTTGATCGTGGAGGCCCCTCAGAGGAACAAGGGGTACCAGCCCCACACTGGGACCCGCTCCCAGGGTTCCAGTTCCAGAGAGAAGTCGCCATAACTTCTGGCTGTGAAAACCAGCAGAGATTGTAGCTGAGTGAGATGGAAGGCTACTGGAATTCCAGGCTTTCCTCTTAAAGCACCCACGCATAGACTTACTTGCTAACAGACTCAGTCTCTCCAAGCTCCAGCACTCAGGTAGCAGCTTGTGGGGTGCCAGGGACATATGGGGAGGAACTGAATTGTCTGGCTTTAGGGCGAGGGCTGGAGGGGCAGCTTTCTCCCAGACAGAAGTGATGGAAGAATCCATTGTTCCTTTGGTGAGTCCTCCCACTCCCGATTTGCAGATGTAGGCACCACCATATCTGAGTCTCCATCAATTTGGCTAATACCGGTTGCCCAGGTGATTTTCTGAGGCCCCACCCCATCTAACTTGCAGGCCCACCCAAGCCACTTGCAGTGGCTTTTCCATACAAATAAGCTGTTTTAGCTCATGCTGTGGGCTTTCCTAAAATCTCTCAAAGGTTCATAGAACCTAAGCAAGCAGCATCTGGCCTTGTTCCCCGTCTCTCTTGCTGGCCTTGGCTTTTGGCTTGGCCTCTCAAGGTACCACTAAGCCCAGGAAGCAGAGAGAGTCCCAAACAAGATGAACTCAAAGAAAGCCACACCAAGACACATCATAATTAAAAGGCCAAAGGTTAAAGACCAAGAGAGTCTTAAAAGCAGCAAGAAAAAAAAAAACAGTTAGTTACCCACAAGGGAACTCCCATAGGACTATCAGCTGATTTCGCAATAGAAACTTTTCTGACCAGAAGGGATTGGGAAGAAGTATTCAAACTGATGAAAAGTCAGGACCTACAACCAAGATTACTCAGAAAAGCTATCATTTAGAATCGAATGACATATAAAGAGCTTCTTGGACAAGAAAAAGCTAAAGGAGTTCATCACCACTAAACTGGTAAGAAATGTTAGAGGGACAAGAAGGAGAAGGGGAAGGGGAAGAAGGAGGAGGAAGAGGAGGGGAGGAGGAGGAGGAGGATAAGAAGAATAAGAACAAGAAGAAAGAAGAATCAAAAATATGAATAATAAAATGGAAAGAACTACATAGCTATCAACAGTTACTTCAAATGAAAAAGGATTAAATGCTTTAATCAAAAGACAGGGTGGCTAAATGGATAAGAAAACAAGAACTTTACATATGCTGCCTACAAGAGACTCACTTCAGATTGAAAGACACACATAGCCTGCAAGTAAAGAGATGAAAAAAGATATTTCATGAAAATGAAAATGAAAAAAAAAAATCTGGGGTAGCAGACAAAATAGACTTTAAAACAAAGGCTATAATAAAAGACAAAGAAGGACCCAGTTATCCTACTTCTGGGTATTTGTCCAAAGAAACCCAAAATACTACTTTGAAAGGACATGTGACTCCATATGATCATTGCAGCATTTTTACAATAGCCAAGATATGGAGGCAACCTGGGTGTCTATCAATGGATGAATAAATAAAGAAGTACATATATACAATGGAATATCACTTAACCGTAAAAAATTTCAAAAAGAATAAAATCTTGCCATCTGCAACATGGATTGACCTAAAAGATATTTTTCTGAGTGGAGTAAGTCAGACAGAGAAAGATAATTGGCATACTTATTACTTATCTGTGGAATCTAAAGTGTAAAATAAACAAACAAACAAAACAGAAGCAAAGTCATAGATATAGAGAACATTTTTGATGGTTGCCAGATGGGAAGGGGCTTGGAGAAGGGGAAAAGGGGAAGGGGAAAAGAAGAAGTACTAGTTGGTAGTTACAAAATAGTCATGGGATATAAAGTATAGCATAAGGAATACAGTCAGTAATATTGTAATAACTCTGTATGGTATCAGATGGGTACTGGATCTTTTGGGGTGATCGCTTCCTGAGTTATGTAAATGTCTAATCACTATGTTGTACACCTGAAACTAATATAATATTGTATACTAACTATAACTGAAAAATAAAAAAATTATTTAAAAAATTAAATAAAATGAAAGTGAACCAATTCTACTTGAAAAAAATAATATAAAATGTAAATTAATATAAAAAAAGAATAGGTATATTAAGTTTTAACAGAAGGTCACTTAGAATGTCTGTGCTCTGTGTTCCTAAATGATCAAAAGAATTAGCCAGTAATTAGTAAGAATTAGTAAATATCAGGTAAGTAAAATTAAATAATTACTACTCTTAAATTCTTTTAAGAAAATTTCAAAAAATTAATAGAGTTAATTATTGAACCATATAAGCATATATATGTGTACATACATACATACAGGGTGTACATCAAGGAAATGCCTTAATGAAAAATCATGTTTTTCATTTAATATTTCAGATGTACATTACCAACACAATCAAAGCCAAAGGAACAAGACTTGCTAAGCCTGTTCTGTGCTTGGGCTTAATGTGCTTGGCCTTTCTTACTGGACTCAACAGAGTAGCGGAATATCGAAATCATTGGTCAGATGTGATAGCAGGCTTTCTGGTTGGAATATCTATAGCAGTATTTTTGGTAAGTACAAATTTACTTAGGTATCACCGGGTTTTTAATTAACTTGTATAACCACCTGTAAGAAATTACACATGTGAATCACTGGGTTTGACTGAATGTGACATATCAAATGATGATATGTATATTCTAAGGTATTCATTTGTCCCTCTTTCTTCATTTGTTCTGCATAAAGTTAGGTATGGGGATGAAAAAGTATAAATTCTACATTTAAAGTTGAACAAAATATTTTCATGTAAAATGAAACAAGGCTAAAAGCTCTCATTTCTCTGTGGATAGCTTTTATGACTGGGTTGCATGGATAGTCCTGAAATTCCCTCAGGGCAGTTTGCATCCTGGAGTACCTGGAGGATCCCAGAGTCCCCTGGTGTGAGCCACTAGTTACAGCCACCGCGCTCATTATCGGGTAAACCTCACTCGGGTAAACTTCACTCATGAGAGGGACCGGTCCCCTTCAGTGACTAATAGCATTTTAAATCAGTTCTTCTAGAATCTCCTATGGTAAAGTGGTGACTATGCCCTCTTCCCTGCTCTATGCCTTGTGCTACTTTCCTTCCTATGTTCCCAGGACTATACCACCTCCAGTTAGATTTTGCTGAGAAGTGAAGAGCATAGGTAGTGAATTCTAATGAAGTAAGCATGCTATCTCTACACCTATTTTAAAATCTCCTTAGGATAACTATATACATTTTGGTTGTTGGAAACTATATTTTAGCATGGCTTAAGAATGACTATACAACATTTGGCCGAGTTGAAAAAATGCGTAGACTATAAATGAAAACATTTTTGCATTGACGTATTATGACACACTTTAGTTCCCGTTTGATTACATTTAAATTGCTCCTCATAGTAAACTTCTCTTCTTCTTCCTCCTTTTACTAGTTAATACCCAGTAAATGAAAACTTACATGTACATTTCTGGCTACTAAAAATTTGAGCGCAGTTTCTGCACCAGGCATTTTAAATCAGTTCTTCTTCTAGAATCTCCTATGGTAAAGTGGTGACTATGCCCTCTTCCCTGCTCTATGCCTTGTGCTACTTTCCTTCCTCATGTTATTCCTACTGTGTCCCAAGGTCTCTGAAAGACTTAGGCTCAACTCCCTCCCTGTCCCAGAAATATGCTGCAGCCTCGTGTAAACTGTGGCCCAGGCCTGGGTCAAAACCTTTTATTTATTTTTACTCACCACAGTTGAAACAGATTAACATTTTATGAAACAAAACAAAAACATCTTACATAAATTCTAAGGAAATAATCCTAGGCAAGCAAGAAGAATACTAAAAGTCAAAATTTCAGAGCAGTAGTGGCAGACGTAAGTGCTTTCAGTTCCACGGGTCCAGAGCATCTTCTCTGATGTCTCATCAGGCTTTCTGCTAATTTTTTGTGGCTGCTGCCATCTTCCCTTTGCTTCCAGTGAACCTCTTGACACCTACGAGGCCAAATCTAGAATGCTTGTGTCTTCCCAGTCACTTCCCTGCCTGAGAACATCATGGTGAATGATGACTTGGATTGCCTTTCAGCTCAAGACCCTCCTACTGCACATATTCAGAACATTCCGTAATGATCCTTCAAACATTCCCCTCAGTCTAAGAAAATGACCTTATGAAAAGGTCATGGGAAAGTAATGCTTTAACTCTATAATAACTAAATGAGCATTTAAGCATCCATTCACAACCATTATCATAAGTATGTCTACAGGTGTCAGGCGCTGTGCCAAAACTAGAGATGCAAGATGGCTCAGATCAACATGACCTGTCTCTGGTGGGAGTTATAGTCTGTTTCGGGGGTCAGACAATAATACAGTAGCAGGGTTATTCCTCCAGACATTTCCCCCTTTCTTCCTTCATAAAATAAACATTTACAGAGCCCCTACTGTAATCCAGGCACAAGCTTGCTGCTTGGAATAAACACATGAAAAAGATACATTCTACGTATTTAAACAGATCGCAGTCTGGTGGGACAAGTAAAGGGTGTTCCTGGACCCAGTTCCAATGCGTGTGTGGTGGGGAAAGCTTCTTCACACCAACAAGGAATTCTCAGACACCAGCACGGTGACAACAGCAAGGTGTCTGAGAATTCAGCTCAATTCTGATAGTGTCTCACATCGGATTCCCATAAGACCCAGTCCCACAACACTGTCCCCACTCACACTTCCGACACCAGTCGCAAGCCCATTTATTACCTGTGCTTCTGACCAACCAGCTATAGATTGGAGGTTCCACTCACCGCTTCCTTGGACGTCAGACTTCAGTCGCAAGTCTGGGTTACCTGTACTTCTGACTGACTGACTACAAGTCAGAGGTCCCCACGACCCCCTCCCTTAGGTTCAATTAATTTGCTAGAATGGCTCGCAGAACTCAGGAAAACCTGTTTACTCACTAGATGACCAGTTTATTGTAAAGGGAACTCAGGAAGAGCTACGAGGAGGAGGAGGGGTGTTCGGGAGTGGAATGGTTTGGAGCCTGATGGAACACTGGAGATGACAGAGGCAAAGGAGAGGGAGCAGTCTCTGAGGAGTCCCAGGTTTCCCATTCAGGCAACTAAGTAGAGCATTTATTTTGAGCAGTGACTATAGCTCTGGCTTGCAACATCCTGAGGTGTTTCCAATTATCTTATGGTGTGTGCAGAACTCTAAAATGATTCCAAAATAAAATGAAGACAGCCTACTGAGAGCCTCTGTGTTTCAGTGAAAGGCACCCACAGCCCACAGCCACCTAGACCCAGTGTCTGGTGTTTGCCTTTGACTCATTCTCCTGGTTTATCTCCCATACCCTGTGACTCATCTAATCCCAGTTCACTTGCATTACAAAAACATTTCTTCCATAACTTATTTCTTTGCCATTCTGACTATAACCTCCCGATTTTAGATCAATGCATCTTCTCTCTATTATGTCTATAGATTCTTAGCTGCCTCCTCAGTTCAGGCTCTCCTCCAAATACCTCCTATTCTTCTTCTATACACATTATAACATAATTCACTGCTAATAACAAAACAAAACAAAACACCCCAAACCTCTTTCCTGCTGCATTAAATACAGACACTTCCAGTGAACTTCTGAGATCCTCAGTAATCTGGCTGCACTCTTCCCAGCCAAGTCTATTTTTCCCTCTTTACAGTGGAATCCATGGACTTCGGATCCAGTCAGTGATCCTTCTCTCTCACAAACAGACTGTCCAGCCTACACATTTGCCTCAGTGGGAAAGCCTGTTCCTCTGTATATGTCAGAGAGCAAAACAGAGGTTCTGGGAGTCAGACAAACCTAGTTGTGAATTCTGCTTTTGCCACACGTTGGATGTGTGACCTTGAACAAATTACTTAGCCCTTCATTATGCCTGAAGCAGTGAGGCCTTCCCTGAACTGTAGTTAAAATGGCTATTCCTTCCTGAGGACATTTCTCATTCCCTATTCACTTTCCTTCATAGCACATTTCAACTTTTAATGTACCACGTATAAAATTTTTGTTGAAAATTTTTTCTGCTATGAAACCCATTAGAATGTAAGCTGCTCATGCAGAAGGCATTTCTTTGTTTTCTTCACTGTGGATTCCCAGTATCCAGTACAGGGTCCAATATGTAGGAGGTTCTCAGGAAATATAGATGAACAGATGGATGAATGAATGAATGAATGAATGCATGCATGAATGAAGAACTGTTTTATTCACTTCCCAGAGCTCCTTTCAGGGTTAAATGAAATCACACATGTAATAAGCGCTGTCGAGTGGTACAGAGAAGGCTCTGGACATCATGGTCCTCACCTTTGATGACTGTATTCAGATCCTTTATGCACTTGACATTTTTCTTAGATGAGTCCCAACTTTCCCAGGAAGTGTCCCTGACTTCCTGGTTCTCTCATTTTTCCTGACTGCACTCAAACTCCATCCTATTAAATCTAACAAGGACTTATATTCTGTACTGAGTGTATCACTCTTGTCCTATGTGCATTTTCATTAAAGTTAGAGAACAGAATCTCCATGCTTAGGAAAATACAAAACAAATACTAGTTGAACAATAGTTGTAGATTAATTAATATTGTTTTAAGAACTTCCAAAAAAGATGCATATTACTGTATTAGGTGGAATAGTTCAAGTTTGCTGAGCCACAGCAAAAGCTTATCATGTTATCATATGTAATAATAACAATAACAAAAAGAGTTATTGAAGCCCTCTTTACTAAATTAACTCAACCAATATTCACAATAGCAGATTGAGATATAGTTATTATTTTCATTTTGTAGATTAAAGAAACAGGTCTAGTTATATTAAGCAGCTTGCCCAGGCTCACACAGTTAGTAAATAAGAGAACCTAGGATTAAAGCCCAGGTTTTTTGATTCCAAACCCGAGCACTTGACCCCATACAACAGAGATTTTTATTTGCCACAAGGGAAGAAGGAAAATGATCATAGATGGATGAGATTAATTTATTATTACTCTTGGAAAAAGTAAAAGAAAATATGTTGTGGTGACAGTGTCATTTTTGTAGGAGAGGGTAGAATTATACACGTGGAAGTTTCAATGTAAAAGTAGAATGTTTCAGAGTAAAGTTACTTTAAATTATATAGGAACATTAGAAAATTTAGAAATGTTGCCCTGGATGCAGGCTCATTCATTAAACTCTTCACTCTCTGTGGCACTGAGAATACAATGGTGAGCGAAAAAAGAAAGACAGCGTCCGCTTTTATGGAGCTTACAATCTTGGAAGAGACTCACATCAACCAAGATATTATGCTAACGGATGTATAATTTCATACAGAAATAAGTGCTTCGATGAAAAGATTCACAGGTTGATGTGAGCAAAGCACAAACAAAGACGTAATAAGCTGACCTTGCTCCAAGGCAATCACGGTCAGTCCTCCGTAGGGTTATCATTCAATAGCAGTTTTGTCAGTGTCCACTGCCAACCCCTTACCATCCCTGACTTTAAAGATCTTGATGGTGATGATAAAGCTGAAGTATAAATTATCAAGATTTGATCTATGCTTCTGATCTGTAATTCTTCAAGGAAGTGGAAGGATAGTCAATGTATACCAATTTGCAAGGAAATATTTTTTCTAAGATAAGGTTTCGTAGTACATATTATTATTTTGTAGATTTTGTAAATTTTATTTAAAAACTAAAGAGTAATCAAGATCTAATTGGCCTTTGAAAGTGTTCAGCAATGAGCCCTACTAAAGAAAAGGCTTTCCAGTACACCATTTGTGAAAATAGACAATGTAAATGTGTAATTACATATTAAGCATTGTTTTAAATGAATGTTAGGTTTTAACCGCAAATGAGTTCTGTATTTTGATTTGATAATAGAATATAAAACCCAGAAGAAGGCTCAAAAATATCTTACCTACTAGTTAAGCAGATAGTAGCAAGTAATTTTCCTCTGTTTAATTCACTATTTCTTGAAGCATGATCCACCTGCATCGGAAGCTTCTGGAATGCATTTTTAAAGTGCCAACTCCTAGGCCCCATCCTTCATCTATGAAATTATAATCTTTACTGAATGGTTTAGGAATGTGCATTTTTAATAGTGCCAGAGCTTTATTTTTATGCACTCTTGTGTATGAGAACCTCTGGTTTAGTTCAAATTCTGTCACCCCTGGGATATAATCAATTGAAACAAAGCTCAGTTCCCTTTTTGTCAAAGGTCTTCTATTTCAGCATTAGCCCCAGTAAGCTATTGTTGAAATGCCAAGTATATATGAGATACAATAAGAGACAATACACTAGGTTAATTGAAAGGATGCTACTAGAGAGAGCCAATTGTAGACATTCGTTATGAATGTAATGATCTTGAAGCAATGAGAAATAATTAGCACTGAAATTAAGTTGTAGGTTTGCCACATTAGGGAAAGGTTAGCTTACTATGAACTTTTATAAGGTTATGATGTTATTTTGGGATTGATTTGAGCATTCACTACAACCTAATTTAATGAAAATTATGGAATAATAAATTGTCATTATTAACTGAACTACATATTAATTGATGAATTTTCTTGAACACATTTGCACTGACGTAACTATTTCAAAATTATACAAGATAAATCTGGATATAAAGTTATATATATTTAATATTTAAGTAATTTTAATACTTTATTGCTATGATTAGATGTATTAAGCTACTCAAGAGTCATAGTCATAGAGTGCATGGCTTTGTTTTAAACCATAATTTTTTTCTGAAATTTTAGGTCGTGTGTGTGGTAAATAATTTCAAAGGAAGACAACCAGAAAACGAGCATATACGCACAGATAATCTGACACAAATGCCAATGATCAGCATTCCTCGAGCAGAAAGTCCTTTGGAAAAGGTAACATCTGTACAGGTGATGCATAATTTAAATTCTAAAATGTGTTTGTTACCTAGAGCAAAGGAATAATTATTCCTGAGAGTATTTGCACAGTCATTTTCGATTTATCGAAACAAACTCAGAGTCTAATGTGGTATTTAGCATGGATTTACTCACTGAAGACATTGTGTTAGAAAAAGGTAAATCACACTTAAAATATTTCTTTGAATCCCTCATGCTAAAGCTGTGTACCTGTAAATGGAGTATGTTCTGTACTTTGTCATAGCTTCTAGAACATTGTGCAATGGTCTCATGCATAGGCAAAATAGTAAGATAGTTTTGCTTGAGAATATGTGCATTTTTAAAATAAAATATGTTCCATTTCTTCTATGCTCCATTTACAGTTGATCCTTGAACAAGACGGGTCCACTTATATGTGGATTTTTTCAATAAATACTGTAAATGTAATTTCTCTTCCTTATGATTTTCTTAATAACATTTTCTTTTTTCTAGCTTACTTTAGTGTAAGAACACAGTATGTAATACATATAAAATACAATATGTATGCTAATCAACTGTCTATGTTATCGATAATTGTTATGGTCAACAGTAGGCTATTAATAGTTAAGGTTTTGGGGAATCTAAACTTATATGTGACTGCATGGGGGTCAGCACCTCTAACCTCCACATTGTTCAAGGGTCAACTGTATATGAAACTCCTTAGTATAATACTTGACACATAACGAGGGTTCAATAAATATTTGTTGTATCTCAATGTATGAAGGTCCGGCAGCTGGAAAACACCAGTCATACTCTAATCAAGGAGGCGCCCAGGGTCAGGTGGGGGCTGATTGGAGCCAGACCAATGGTGGGTCAAGGCTTCCTTGGGCATGGCAATGAACACAGAAGCCAGGTATCTAACAAAAACTTTTCTTGAGACTTAATGTTTTTAAAATGATGATGACACAGTTATGCACATTTGTAACTGGTTAAATAATTGCTTAGAGGGTTACTAAAGGCTTCTCCTCAGCCCTGTCTATATCCATGTTTTGATCAATATCTTAGATGAAGAGTTCGATTACATGCTAATCAGGTGTTTAGATGGTGTGAATCTGTGAGGGATAATTAACATATTGGATGAAAGAATACAAATTCTTAAGAGATTACAATAAGATTACAATGAACAATTAACTAGAAATAAAGAAAACGCTTTGTATGTGAATTTTTAATAGGGTAGGGTCCATCTAGATGAACTGCATGAACGAAAATGGCTCAGAGGGTGTAGTAGGCGACCACCTAGCATGTGTGAACAGCATGATACAGCTGCTGAGAGTTAATATGATCTTAAGCCCTGCTTTGGGAAAACGATATCCAGAGTGAGAGAGATGAGCATTTGCTCTGCTCAGACCAACTTGAAAAACTATGTACTGCCCTTGGCAACATAGTTTTAAGGTAAACATTGACAAAAAAGAATAGTCGGCACTCAATGAACATTTGTTAAAGGAGCAAATAAATGTGTCCAGGATGATGACTGGACTCAGCATTATGGATTATGAGAGACTGTGGAAGGAACAGAAAATGGTTAGTCTAGAGAAAAAGAAAACTCATGGAAGAAGCAATAACTTTTCACAAATATCTGAAGAACTATTGTATGTCAGAGGGATGTGATTTGTTCTTCAGGGCCTCAGAGATCACAATTAGGGTGAAAGAAAAGAAAGTGTAAGAAGATAAATAATGTCTGGAAAGAAGTAAAAACTTTCTGAAAATGGAATGGCTGCCTTAAGAGCAATGAAATTTACTTTTACTATAGAGATTCAAGTATTGCTAAATAATCACTTATTCATGATACTGTGGAGGTCATTCAAGCACTCAGGTGAAGATAGAGGTACTAGATGATGATAACGATGATGATGATGATGATGATGATGATAACTACTATTTAATGACCATTCAGTTTGTGTCAAGCACTACATTGATTGCTTATGTAAATTCTACAAAAATACTTCTATGCTCTACCAGTATAATTTTACTTTTTAACTACAGTTTTTAAAGCTGGGTATCATTATAGTGGCAAAAACTGCTAATAGTTCATCAGTATCCTTCTCCCCTTCTCCCTTTTAGCAAATGAATTCCCCAAGTCAATATTAGCTACTCCCATGACTCTCCAGCTGTAGTCTATATTTCTCAGCTTCCATTGCAGTTAGATGTGACCATACAACTAAGTTAAGACCAATGCAATTAAGCAGCGGGGTAAGTGCAACCTCTGGTTTATCTCTTTGAAGGCTCTTGTCCTAGGTATTCTCCACCCCTTTTCACCAAATGCAAAGGTAATGACTGGAGTAATCCGTAATTTTTAAAGGTACCAATCCACCTGACAGCCTGAGTTCCTGGATAAGCTCATGGAGCATTGCACACACACACCCTAGGTGGCTCTGAGAACAACAAAAAAAACTCCATCAATTTTCTACAGTGGCTTAGCTGATGGCTGGTAATGATAAATTTCCCCACTGTACAGCTAAGAAAACTAAACTCTCAAGTGGTTAAGCATTTTGCAAAAGTCCATATCATTCATAAGCAGCAAAGAAAATTTATACGATGTAACATTTCAAGATACATACTGATGTGATAAAACGTTTTTTAAAAAAGTGAATAATATGCACAAAATTAGATCTTGCTTAACTTAAAACAATAGAATTTAGAAAGAGATCTTAAACATTATTTTGAAGAAAATGGTCAGGTAGCTATTAGAGTCTTCATTTTATATACCTCTGAAATTATCATTAATTAGTCTCCTCCATTTTAACGTATTTATTTGCATAAGAGTTCTTTAGTAGCCTCCTAGCATTGCCAAATATTTACATTCCATTCTATCATTCTATATATTAAATGTTTAAAAATTCCTGTTGATTTTCTGTTAATTCATTTTTATTTACAGTGAATTTTAAAATATTAGATGGTGAAAGCAAAAAATATTCTATTAGAATCTATAGATTGCAAGAGATCAGTGTTCATTAACTTCTTTCTTTCATTAATTTTTTTTATGACAAATTCATGTGCTTCGTTTTCACTCTGGTAGTTAGGAAGTGAAGGCGATTTGACCCCGATTTGATTCTCCCCTTTGCCCACTGGAGTGCCTTGGCACACACGCTGACGAACCCCGACTTTGCTCTCGGCTCTTTTTATTCCTGTTTCCAGGCAGAACACTGTCCGCACCACACACAGTGCGTGGTGGGCTCCCCGCACTCACACAGACCACAGGACCATCACGCGTCCAGACGCTGGCAACGCAACTCAGGCTTCCCTTTGGAGCTCTGCTGCTGGGAGGATGTGCGTTAGTGTGAAGACCATCACTTAAAGAAAGCCCACAATAGCTTTCTCTTCTTTTTGCAATAAGAAATATTTGGAGTAAATATATTGCTTTTCATTGTAGTTCGCAATGAAAAACGAATGAAAAATTCTTCCCAGAAGCTTGATCTTCATGATTGATAGTTGATGGGTGACATTGGATCCTAGAGCTGACCCTCTGAGTAGAGAAAGGGAGCTCCATGTTTCAGTTTGGTCTTGGGGCATAGACAGTACTTTTAGCATCATTATGCCAAGCTGTCATTTTCTGGTTGTCAGTTTGGTGTGGAGAAAGCAAAGGGTTTCTTTTAGAAGTTATATATTTACATAGTCTTGTTTGTTCAAAGTACATGTTTGATAAAACTATAAGGTACAGAGTATTGCAGCATGCAGGCATTCTTTATTTTTATGTTAGCAATTTATTCCTTAATTGTAGGGACTTTGTCATATAGTTAATTACCATAGTTTATGAGGAAGAGTCATGACTTTTCTGAAAGAGAAGAGTAAGTCTGAGCAATCGTTATATTTGGTTTTATGAAAAGAATCATCCATGGAAACTAGCCCATCATATTTCAATGTCCACTAAATATTTGTTACTTCATTACAGCTGTTCGTAATATCAAATCTTGAAAGGCCTAACTGTATATCAGTAGTGAATTAGTAAATCAATCATGCTACATTCCTACAGTGGGATCTAGTACATTATAGTGTGGTGTTTCTGCTCACAGGTTCGGGAGGTAGACTAGCTGAGGATTTTGGATAATTTGATCTTGGGCAGATAACAAGTGCTCTGTGACTCAGTTTTCTCATTTATAGAATGATAGTTATGAGAGTTCAGCAAGATAATAGGAAAGCACTTAGAATAATGACATTTATCAAACCCTTAATCATTGCCAATCATAATTATTATTACTATTCAACAGTTAAAATGGATGAGGTAAATCAAGATGTAGAAAGTTTTCCAATGCTTGTTGTAAAGTGTTTCTTTTTTTCTTTCTATAAAGAGGCTATATTCACAAATAATTATGTAACTAAAATAATTATAATGTTATAAAATTATTCAATTTTCTTCAGCTGCTCTCCTAGGAAGTCCTGGTTATATTTCCTCATATTGACTTCTGATATGTTCAGATTGATCAAAGTCCCTTAGAAAAAAACCCCCATAGTAGTTTAAATCCCTGTGCCCCTTCTTTATAACTCACAAAATCTTTTTGAAAGTGTTTGGTTTATTTTTCTCTGTCAAATTGTGCATAGAGACCTTGATTGGAGTTCCCAAGCCTTCATGCCCTTGTACTCACAGTCCAGTGTCCCTTGGCAGACCTGCAGTCATCCCCATTTCATGTCGTATCAGTCCCGAGGCCCTACACATGAGCTGTGTGCAGGTACCTCTCATTTATAGGATCCACAAAGTTCCCACCCACCTGAGGTCCTAGGGAGCCAACTTTTACCATAGGTCATGTCAAGTCTTCTTTTCAGACTCATCATTTTCTGGCTCCTGCCCGTAAGGGCCCATGTATCCCAAACAAAAGCGCCATTGGTGCTGGCTTCAGGATGTCTCCCAAAACACAAAGACACTTTTAATTACTCTCAGGAGTTTAAGAAACAGAAGTCTAACTCTTCTTCTAGGAAGTGAAAATGGAAACATTTACATTCATTACCTTTAGTCTCCTATATTAGCA